AATGGTGTTAAAAGAACAGCCAAGTGGGAACACCTTAAATGCTTATATAAGTTAGAATCAGAAAAGTTAGTCAAATTATCAGACTTAAATGAAGTTGCAATAGCTCCAAAGCCAATAGAAAGGCAAAGTGTTTCTACTTGTCTTAGAGTTTTTTCAGATAAAACATATCATGCCTTACTGAGTCATTCTCAAATAAATTCAAACTCAAAAGATACTACAATTTTTATAAAAAAAGTAACAACTTGGTGGAAAATTTTGAACGTGAAAGGTCATGGAGCTGATGTGAGACACAATGAGCCTTTAGAAGCACCAATTTGTAGTCGTGATGATTACCACTTTAATACTCTTTTCCAGTTTGGTGATATGGCCCTTGAAATGTGCTGTAAAAAAGGCACAAGAGTTGGGCAGTTATCTAATGATACTGCAAAAGCAATTCACCATATTTGTTATGGCACCGTTGAACTGTGTTAGAAACTAGTCATGAACACTTATTAGAAACTAGTCATGATTATGTTCTTCTTGGTATGTTTACAAGTGACCATTTAGAAAAAGATTTTGGGAAATTAAGACAAGGTTGTGGAGGTACCTATTTCATAAATGTTCAACAAATTATAGAAAAATTGCATATAAATCACACATCGCTGTTATTATCTCTAAATGTTGACATAGATTATTTTGATTTATCTTCGGGTCATAATTGCCCCTCCTGCACATATGTCTTATGTGAGGCAGGTAGTGAAATATTTGACAATTTAGAAAAACTAGAATCATCAATATCTGATTCCACCAAAATGTCTTTGATATATATTGCTGGTTATGTATGTAGAAATGAATACAATGAAAGTAACTTGTTCGAACAAACAATGCTTTATTATGAAAAGTTTGGTGGCTACCTTAATTCTATAGATCGTGGTGGTCTTAAAATTCCACTAGACAATGTATGCCAATGGGTCTTTTTTTGTTTTATTTTGTTTCACTCTATTAAAGATAAAGTCGGCAGTCCTTGAGTGATATCTTTTTGTTAGTTTTAGAATTTTATTTTTTTGAAATTAAACACACTTATAATATTTTGTAACACACTTGCTAATATTTTTTTAAACAATTATTGTGCACAAATTACACCGAGGTCTAATAAAGAGCCAGCATTAAAAGTGTTGAAGTTGTCATAAATTTATTTAGAAAAAAACAATGTGTATTTGATATTGTTTGAGATAAGACTATTGAGACTATTTTCTTTGTTTTTAACTTTTCTTTTTCATTAAATAAAAAATGAGAACTCATTGTTGCTTTTTTCATTTATAAGTATTCTTATATTGACTAATTAAATTTATTAAAAAATGATATTTCGAATCAAGATTATAAATTATTAAAGCAGAGTTGTTAAAAAATTTAAATTGGAAAAAAATAATAGGCCCCCAGTTACGGCTTACGGTTGCGCGATGAATAGGCCTTCAGTATAGATCGCCATGGTTGAAACAACATTTTCATGAAATTTTCGTTTGTTCTCTTATCATTTTTATGGTATTATAATTAAACAGCATCAAAAACTTTTATGGTATTAAAGAAGTTCTTTATATGATATTTGATCCTTGCCGTGTATAGAACTGTAATGTTGGTGTCATAAAATACCACCTTTTATAACTCAATATAATAAACAAAAGTTTAATGAACTTTCTGGTTTTAAAATTACTTTAAAATGAACTTTCTGATTTTAAAATTTCCTTGAACATCTCTATTATGAATATTTTTTTCGGCAGTATTTGATGATACCTCATGGTTTGCAAAAAAACGCTTATTACCTAAAATAAAGTATTTTTATAAAATGCAAATTTCCGCTTGTAAATTTGAATAGCTTACAATAAATTATTTAAGTAAATAACAAAATAAATTATATAAGTATAATATCAAATTAGTAAAAAATAACGAATAAAAAGAATTGTTTTTACTAGTTTCGTAAAAAACTTTGAGGTATTATTATAAAACATTCTTTTATTATTTTTGTTTTTATATTATTAATTATGTAATTTGCCAATAAAATAAAAAAAAATTAAGCAATACAATTATATTACAAATTACAAGACATGTTATTCTATCCCAGACAGCAAGCATACATTGGGGCAATGCATGGTGATGCATTGGCCCAACATTAAAATTCGATGTTGGTCCAATGCAAATTTGATCATTGGTTAGGCATTGGCCCAACGTTGTGTACAACATCGGCCCAATGTTGTATACAACGTTAGGTCAATGTTATATACAACATTGGCCGACAATATCGTATGTAACATTCGGCAAATATTCTATAAAACGTTAGGCAAATATTATTTTACTTAGCTATATACTGAATTTAAACAACAAATGTTGTATATCAGCCTAAAGTATTATGCATCATTAGATCGTTGTTACAAATAAATGATTTGCATCGCAACATTGAAATTTATAGAGATAAACAAAAATGTATGATACAAGTATAAAAATTTATTTATTTAATTTACTTAATTTCTCCGTTAAACATACATACTGTAAACACCAAACATAAACCAAAAACTAACACATTGAGTTTTAAATAAAAAAAATCCCTATAAAATTTATGGAGTAGTTTCGTTATTGGCTGAGCTACTTTTTATTGAATCGTGTTTAGCTAATGATATTTGGTGCCCACGACTATAATCTTTTTTTCTACCATCTCTATCACATGCCTGCATAAGCCGTGCTTATTTGACACTATAGCTTCTGCAAAAAAATTAGTTGTTTATTTAATTATGCACAAAAGAAACATAACAAATTGAAAGTAATTGTGTAATGCAAAATTGAAACTGAAAAAATAAACTTCTAAACCACTTACCAATAGCAACATATGCAATTAACTTTTTTCATATATCAATTTTTTTAAAAAAATTGATATATGAAAAAAGTTCTTAATATTCTTAGTAAATAACATATACAATCTCCATTGTCTTAACTTCAGCTTGTCCAAAATAATTTAGCCTGCGAAAATATACCATCTTGCAATAATTAAAATTACTATTGGTTAGACTTAAGTTAGTATAAAATGCCATTTACAAAAAACCTTTAAAGAGTATTTGTTTAAAATACATAATTTGTATAAAGATATCATACGAAATGCATAAAAAAATATTTACCGTTTGTTTAAATATTTTCATGTCTTTTTTCTTCCAAAGTACTTGAATTCTCCACTGCTTTTAATGGCAACGAAACTCATTCAGGCAAACCATTAAATAGCATATTTTTGTTACTCAAATTTTAATATAAATAAATTTGATGCGTTTTGTTGTTTACCAAGTTGCATTTCAATGTTTGCCCATGGTACTAATAATACCTGTATATCTTTAGGGGATACAACTTTATCTTGAAACAATAAAGTTAATAAAATTCTTAAGAAACTATACACCAAATTACATATAACATTTAGAATTTCTGTAAGTAAATGCAACATTTACTTACAAAGCAAATAAAATTAAAGACAGAGGGGCAAATTTTTAATGATAAAAATATATACTTCCCAATGGATTCATAATATTTTTATGAATTATGTAACTTGCTGGTAACTTGCTGTGCATTCAAATTCTGGCACTGAAACAAAACAATTCTCGTTAACATTTGAGATACAGATTGCATTGTAAAACAAAAAAATTCATATTAAAAAAATGATTTTCCAACAGGGTTCGTAGCCAAATATTTATTTAAAACTACCTGACTTTTTTGAAAAATCAGATGAATTTCCCTGACCATTTTTAACAATGGTTTTTATATAAATGTTTAAAATTACAATATATCTTGAATTTGTCTTGCACCCAAGTAGGCTGTGAAAAACGTTTTTCTACCTTGAATTATATTAAAAAATTTGTCAATATAATCGTTTATTACTTGACAATTTGGATGCTTGGATTTTTATGAATTTAAATAAAGATATTTTAAAAAACACACGACAACATTATTGATTTTGTAAAACATAGTTCTTTACTGACGAAAGTTTAAATAATTTAGACTATTATACCTCATTAGTTGTTTGAGTTTCTTTATTTGTGTTACAGGGTTTTTATTAATGTGTTACAGGGTTCTTGCTCTTCATTAAAAACATTAAATAATTAAAACTTTTTTTAAACTTATTAAATAACCTCAAGAAGATTGAAAATGATTACCTCCTTGAGTAACGAGTTTTTCCTAAATTTTTAATACATTTTTTGCAGTTTTTAACCAAATCTCCTTGAAAATTAAGAAAGTTTTTCAAAGCCTAAAAACTTGTGAAAAGACGTTTATTAGAACCTGCTCAGCCCGAGGTTCCTTTAAAAAAGAAACCTACCTTTTTTTGAAGAAACCTCGGGCTTTTTCTTTTGGGTGTGAGATCGTCTGTTGATACTGTCACCCATCCTTTTCTTATAAATATTATAAGACATTTAAAAAACAAGAAGTGTAAATAGGCTGTTACAATTTGATGAGGCCGGTCACTAATTGTTTTCCCGGTCCATGTTTTAAAACTAGTCCAACCCAATGATATAATATATAACTAGATGTCAAACTTGCGGGATTTTATTAGACAAAAAGTGAAGGCGCTTCTTTTGTTTATAACAATTGTCTGCCATTTGTAAAAAGGGTAAAAGCTGAAGCCGATGCGTAGAATAAAAGTTAAAAATGCACGTCAAAAGTTCCCATTAAATTAAAGATAATTCAAAACAATTATGAAATACTTTTGAAAGTTTTTTTATGAGCCTATGTTTATTAAAAAGTATTTTAATTCATAAAAATGCTTCAAGTTAGTAAGACGTTTTACTTTTCTATTCAAAACTTTAATCCTTTTTTAATCGAAAATAAATTAAGGAATCATAAATTATTATTTTACAAGTATTACAATTTCCGCTTAACACTTTTGCGTAAATAATATTTAAATTTAAAATATATTTACTTCATTTAAGAAAAGAAAAGTTAAAAATATTTGTTTACAAATTTAATCCGCCATTTGTAAGAAGGGCAAAAAGCTTAAGTACTTTTCGTAATGAAGTTAGACTTCTAGATATAATATATCATTGGTCCAACTCTGTTTGTAAATTTTTTATTTTTTTTTACATAGTTTAATTCTGAAATTTAATAATAAAAAAATTTTCAAAATCATCTATAAAAATATTGTATTACCTTCATCTATTAGATAAATTTAAATAAACGTTTATATAATGAATAATAATGAACCATCGGCAACTGTTAAAACTTTAAACTCATGAATAATAGGTACGTGCGTAAGTTCGTAATTTGCCGTAAAAACGCGAGCTAAAATCTGTGACCCGACTTTTGAAATTTGGCCAAGACACGTATTAGGGCAAACGACACTGTACCGCTAATTATCAACAAATTTTTTTGAAATTTTGCAGTTAATTAGGAAAAAGGTTTTTCTAAATTTTGATACATTTTTAGAATACTTTACAAAAAAAAAAACATATATATTTTTACATCGTAAGTTAACACATTTTTTCTAAGAATCACAGCTCTGTAAATTATGGCAGGTACTTAATGAAACTTTAAGGTATTGTAGATCATTTATTTGTCTAATATTGGTACAACTTTTATATTAATCAGGCGTAGCGCACATTGGTTTTGGGTTTCCCCAAGCACCCTAGGTATTTCTATGAAATGCTGCATTTCTTGCCTTGTTACGCTGAGTTCGTATTTTTTCATTTCTTGTAGTCACGTGATATTTTTTGGAATTCCGATTAGTGCAAAAAGTATATTTATTAACTTGCTGTTTTTCTATAAGCAACCTAGTGACATTAGTGGTAAGCAGAAGATAGTATGCCTCAGGATGTGTTTTTAATTGTGCGAACTTTATTAATTACGTCAGTTAACGTTGCGTGAACTTTTGGATAGTCAAGGCGCAAATAATAAACAAACAGCCGAGTTAAATCAAACCAAATAAATTATGGAAAGCACTATATTCAAGGAAATAACTAATAGTGCAAATACTTATATAAAGTTAAAGCTTAACAAAACATTATAAAATTTAAAAAATATTAATCACTGATTAAATTTATTTATAAGTGTCACCATTTTTGTTAATCAGTAACTTATTATTAAACTAAAAGTGTTATATACATTGTTATACTAAATGTATTTATTATTTCAATTGATTTATTTTTTTTACAACAAATAATAATAGTAATATTAATATAAGAAATAATAATTTCAGCAATTCAGAGGGAATGAATAAGTCTAAGAGGGAATGAATAAGTCTTATTCATTCCCTCGTTATTTTTTTTGTTAGAAAGATACTGCTTAGAGAACTTTGTGGATTCCCCCTTTATTTATAAGTTATTATTTCTTATATTATTATTACATTTATTATTTGTTGTAAAAAAATTAATTTACAAAAAAAAAAATTAAACAAAAAAATAAGTTGCTAACTTATAAGTTGGCCATGTCATGGTATCTGCATGGTATATATCATATATAACAAGTTATAGTGATATCATATACAATCAAATTATGTTTATAACATATATTGTATGTTATAAACATAATTTGATTGTTTTGTATAGAAATTATAGAGTCAAATATATCTTAAAAAATCTATTGTGGAAAAGCCTTGGCTTGCAGGCTTATTAAGTCTCAAAAAATAATGTGTTAGAATTTTTCTATTGTATTTATAAAAACAATATCTTTATTTTCTATTTTGTTTATAAAAGCAACTTATCATTGTTTTTATCATTATTATTTTTATTATCATTAATATAATCATTATTATTAGTAGTAATGTTTATTATTATTTTTTCATGTTGTGATTTTTATGTTTATTATCATAAATATTACTTTTTTTTACAAACATAATTATTTTAATCATTTTCCTTCGATGTTTACTTAATATTAGTAGTATTACAATTTGTAAACAACCTTGAAATGTAACCATCTATCAACTATTTCAGAAGTATATTGATTGATATCTAAGAAATGATTCAAAGGTTGCGTGGTATATATTTAGAACAGAATTATTAATCATAATGAAAAATTTTGGCTACCATCTGTGGTGTCCTAAACTAAATGCCTAAAAATTCTCAAATTGCAAATTATAAATGCAAAGAAAGCTTTCAATATATATTTGCTCAACTATTTTTTGTTAATTTTTTTTTTATTATTAAATTTGAATTTACTTCCCCAAAACTATGAAAGTCACTACATTAGTTGTGGTTACAACCCACTATCACTATGTAATTACTATTTAAGTGAAAGTCAATTATAATTGTTCCAACTTGGCTTAGAAAATAATATTTCAAAACATAATCAAGATTTACAAACTATGAGCTAAGTTTGCTTCTAGAAAAACAATTTATTGACATTGATTAAACATGCCTAATGTTATCTATTTTATCATAACTTGACTTTGCTAAGCGTTAACTTTTTAAATTACTTTTGTATGTAGTTTAGAAAATTTTGTTATTTAAGGGTAATTTATTATGGTAGCCAGTATTTACATTTGTTAAAACTGAATTTTTAAAAATACTTTATTAAATAAATTATTACAAAATTATGACATAACCTAAATTAGAAACAAATGGTAAAAACAAATGATGCCATTTTTTTGTTGCCAAATCTAATTTTTCCATTTGTTTGAACTCCATTTCACAACACTTCATTACCAATCAAAGGGTCATCCCTAAATAAAAATAATTCAATTCTTATAGCACATAGCAACTACTTAGCAGTATATGTTTATTTGATTTTAATATTTAATTATTATTAGTAATAAAAGTCTAACTTTAATAAATATAAATAACAATTTTATAAAGTTTTAAGATGTTGTTTTTTGTTGATAACAAGTAAAAATTAATAAATGAAGGGTAAGGGGGTCTTTATAAACATGGGTTATGTGGAAAAAGTTGCCAAATATTAATAAATATTCCCTTCTATTTATTAAGCACCTAAGAGTACATTTTAAAAGAATAACTTAATAAAGTTATTCACTTTTTTAGTGAAATAGTTTTTATTACTTTAAATAAAACTATTTTTGAAAATACTGTAAAATGTTTAATATTGTTTTACTTCTTTTGGGTTGATCTTATATGCTTCAACTTCATACTGTTAGAAATGATTTTGATAGTTAAACATTGAAAACAAATGTTTAACTTTCACATCATAAACTAAAAATGGTAGTTGATTTAAAAACCAAGTTAAAGACTTTACAAATTCTATAAAAGAAAGCAATGTACATTAGAAGTAAGTTTTTATTTTGTTATTTTTATATTCATAATTCAAATAAAAATTGGCACTATAATAAAACCTTTATTATTACTACTTTTATCTCAAAGCTTCTCCTTACACTTTTCAAATTCAAAAATAATCAGTTTAATTTTTTATTAGATAAATATTCTTCCTGAGTGATTTTTAGTATTTTTCCTGAGAAAAATACTATAAACTAATCTTAGTAAAAAGTAGTAAATATAAACAATAAACAATAGTTGAGGAAAGTAAGAGTCATTAATTTTTGTGCTAACGAACAGTTGTTAGTGTTGAATGTAGATGTGATGTGTAGAAAGTGTAAGAGTTATTTGAAAATGTCCATATTATTTTCATAAGTATGTAACCATGTGGTCTATATTATGAGCGTTATAAACATTATAAATATGTTTTTCATGGATATGGTATGTGTTTGCGTCTTATGGTGCATTATGAATACAAGAAGACCAGCTTTTATCATCCCACAAGTGGTTCCACTCTAGGTGTTTACCCGGGTATCTTTTTGTTAGAGTATCCCTTTGTGTTATTCCAAATGGACTTTTCTCAGGGTATCCCATCAAGACAATTGCCACAGACCTTTGCATTGACCCTGAGATCAGAGGACACTTAGTGGACTTCAGTACAACTTGCATTCAATTGTAAGTGGTTTTTGGACATGAGTGATAGTAAGTGTGGTGATTTGTTACAGTTTAACAAGGGTTGGTTAGAGTTGTGAACTGTTTTTATTTTTTATGGCTTTGCAAGTGATGTATCAATGGAGAGTATGTGTGTATGCATACTGTAGTGCCATGTATTATTAGTATGAGTGATTAATACAAAAGTAGTTGAAAGTCATTTAACCTAGTATAACGTAAGGTAGACATGAATTCTAGTAGCCATGTAAAATATATATAAAAACTGTTACAACTATATTATTTAGAATGTTAAAACAGAATGACAACAATTTAGCAACAATATCTTGTATATATACTTCATAACTAATAACCTAAACTTTTCTTTTGAAGATGGTGATGAGCATTATATTCAGAGTGTTAATTTATTAATTTGTGATTTTGAAAATGTTGTATTACTGTTGTATTAATTTAATTACCAATAGCTTATTAACAATAATAAGAGCATTAGCAACTTATTTGTATTTATCTACAAATATTAAATTAATACCCAATGGAAAAAAAAGTGTCACAAACATTCTCTACAACATATTAGTTAACAAACAAATAAAAAATAACAAAATATACCTTCTAATTTCCGATTTTTTATTAGGTCTTTTTTTTTCTCAGTTGACATTTTCATGATTTGCAATCTTATATTGCATTGACTCTCAGTTTACGATTCAAAAGTTAAACATCAGGTTTTGATGTTTAGCTATTCTTGCGGCGAAAAAACCACGTGATCATTGCGTAATTAAAAAATAAAAATATCTACCATTATGATATGGGGGCAAACAAACGCGTTGATTTCAGTACAACGTTACTTAAACGCTTTGAAAATGTCTTATGATTATCAAGAAAAGTTATCTAAAAAGGCTGCTGAACGTTACCAAAATAAGTTAGATTTAATAGGTAAGTTTTTTATACAACTAATAAAATTTAATACAAGAAATTTTAGTTTAGTTTACATATTAAACTCGCTAATACTATTAGTGTGTTTACTTAATTAAGTAAACACACTAGTTTTAGTGTGTTAACTTAATATAATTATTAGTCTAATAGTATTAGCGTGTTTAATATGTAATCTAATATAAAATTTCGTCTAATAAAGTTTATTAGTTAATCTTTTGTTTAATTACACTATACTATTTACTTCATCACACATACAATTATTAGTATATTACTTATATACTAATAATTGTATGAGTACAATTGTATGAGTAATAAATGTATGAATACAATTATTAGTATATTGCTAATATACTAATAATTGTATTCATACAATTATTAGTATATTAGCAATATACTAATAATTGTATTCATACAATTATTAGTATATTGCTAATATACTAATAATTAATATACATTTGTTAATTATTACTAATATTATTAGTAATAATTAACAAATATTATTGGTAATATATTAATAATAGTATTTAACTAGTTAAATACTATTAACTAATAACTAACTTAATGTAGTTAACTAATAACTGCATTAAGTTGACTTAAGTTTAAGTTAACTTAAGTTAACTAATAACTACATTAAGTTAACTAAATGTAGTTATTAATGTTAACTTAATGTAGTTATTAGTCTAAGAGTATTACTGTATTCAATATTTAACCTTTTATGGACATTTGTCAATAAAGTTTATTAGTTAATCTTGTGTTTAATTCATGGCCTACTTTATAGAAGGCCTCGACACCGTGCGGGAATTTTTTTGACTGAAGGCCGATTTAAAACTGTTACAAACGCATTTTTTGGGTGGAAAAGGAGTAAAATATTAGTTACGTTTTTTCAGAAAAAACAGCTATTCTTCTAGTAAATTTAATTTAGATTATTTAGAATGCCTTTAAAATTTTGTGTTCCAAACTGTTCCTCAAATTATAAGTCTTCAGCTTGTAATGTATCTGTGTATAAATTCCCTCGTGAAGTATGTGAAAAAACTAAATGGTTTATGAGCATCCCTCGTTTAAATTGGACCGTAACAAAATACACCATTGTTTGTAAATTGCATTGGCCAGATGATGCAAAGTTTAAATTATGTTGTGGTAAATTGAGACCGTTTCATCCTCCATCAGTGTTTCCAAATATATCTAAAAGTTGTCTATCCTCTCCACCACCTAAAACGAGAAAAACTTTATCTTTTTCTTCAAAAAGAGGTATCAGAAAAGATGAATTAGAAGAATATAAAATAATTGATAATTTAAATTTTGAAGAAATCAAAAAACACTTATCAACTTATAATGATTTGATTTCATACAAGCAAAATAATTCAATTTTCATCCAATCTAAAATATTTAATTGTGGTGTTCCACTATTTTTGCTAATAATTAATCAAAGTTTGTCGTTCGAAGCATTTCATTTTGGTTCAAAATATACTATTAAATCTCTGGCAAATAACAGAATCACTTCCCTTTGTACAATTGTACAAAGTCATCTTTAAATGAAGCCCTTAGATATCTGAAAGTTGAAGATAAGGATCATAAAATTCAAGTAATGTTTGAGCATTTAAATGTAATGGGAGATCATACTGTTGGCTGTGCTGTGTATTCTCCAAATATAATAACCAGAGCTTTTGAATATTTTGCAACAAGTCGTTCCACTTACCATCGATTATGTTATGATTATCAGTTGCCAAGTATTTGAACTTTGACACGCATAACTTCAAAAATAAACTCTCAAGATGATTTAACTTTTTTAAGTTCTGTGTTATCGAACCTTGATGAAAAAAAAAAGAAATTGTGTTTTATTGATAGATAAAGTTTATGTAAAAGCAGCATTATTATATCAAAGTGGAAGTATTTTTGGAAAAGCTGTTAATAATCCAGAGAAATTAGCTACTACTGTACTTTCATTCATGGTAAAAAGCCTTTATGGTAGACTTGAATTTCTAGCAAGAGTTTTACCAGTTAGTAATCTGACATCAGATTTTCAACAAGTACAATGCAAATTAATTGTAGACACCATAGAAAGTTCTATGAGTAATGGTAAAGTTATTGCAATTATTACAGATGGAAATAAAGTTAATCAAAGCTTTTTTTCTAAATTCAAAACCGTAGACGGAAAACCTTGGTTATGTCAAAATGGCTCTTATATTTTATATGACTATGTCCATCTTTTAAAGTGCATAAGAAACAATTGGCTGACAGAAAAACTAGGTCAGTTACAGTTTAATCAAAATGAGATAACTTACATTGCAAATTGGAGAAATTTAGTTAACTTATATACACTTGAAAAAAACCAATTAATAAAGTTATTGACTGAAACATCAATAAATCCTAAACCAATAGAACGGCAAAAAGTAAGCACTTGTTTACAAGTATTTAGTGAAGAGACAGTTGCAGCTCTAAAAACTCACCCTAAAATAGACCAAGAAAGTGTCAAGGGTACTATTATTTTTTTGGAGTTGATTATAGAATTTTGGAAAATAGTGAATGTTAAATGCCCAGGTGCCAATGCTAGATTTAGGGATGAGTCACGTAATGTAATCAGATCTTCAGATGACATTAATTTAAAAAAGTTACTTGCTATTGCAACAATGGCAGAATATATGAAACCAACATCTGGTAAACGAATTCGCCAGCTTACGAGAGATACAAGCAATGCACTTTCACACACTTGTCGTGGACTAATTGATTTGTCTTGTCATCTTTTATCAAGTGGAAATGAGTATGTTATTTTAGGTTGGTTTTCTAGTGATCCAATTGAGAAATGTTTCGGAAAACTACGGCAAGGTTCTGGTGGTACTTACTTTATAACTGCTAAATCAGTTATCGAAAAAGTACGTATTCAACATGCTAAGCTGGTGCTACAGCTGAATATTGAAGTAGAAGGAAATGATGGTCATGACTGTCTTTTATGTCTTAAAGATTTAGATGATATGGAAATCGATATAATTTACAATTTACCAGATCTAGAAGATAGTATAAATATAGAAATTTTTTATGCTATTGTCTATATTGCTGGTTATGTTCAAAAGTGTTCTACTGAAGAAATTGGTGAAGATAAAACTACATATTATGAAAAATATGGAACTTATTTGGATACTTTAAATAGGGGAGGATTAACTATTCCATCTGATACTCTATCTCAGTGGTCTTTATTTTGTTACATATTTTTTTCTTCATTAGATAAAAAAGTTTGCAGAACATTTCTGATACGACAGTTTGCTTTTATTGCAGAGTTGTATAGTTTTTCTATTGCAAAGAAACAATGCCAAACACTAGCAAACATTATCTTAAAGAACTTTGAATTACTTCACACTCCCAAAAGTAATAAAGAAGCAAAACTAAAAGAAATCAAGCTTATGTAATTTTTTTTTGGGAAGATTTAGTACAAAAAAAATTAGATTTGTTATTGGTGTATTTTTCTGATTATTTATTCTTTTTTGTATATTCAAAAATTTGATTTAAAATGTTTCTATTCAACTTTACAAACTATTTAAGCTTATATAATAGTTGTCAAATTAACGTCAAGAAACTCATTTTATAAAAATGCATCCAAAATTTTTTCAAATAGAATAATTAGTTATTAAATAATTAGCATTAGCAAAGCTGTACAGCATTTTTCTCTTTTAATAAACCGCCATTTTATTTTTAAATCGGCCTTCAGTCAAAAAAATTCCCGCACGGTGTTGAGGCCTTCTATAAAGTAGGCCATGGTTTAATTATACTAAACTATTTATTTAATCACACTCATACTATTATTAGTATATTGGTAATATGTTAGTAATAGTATTAAATACTATTATTAATATTATTATTAGCGATTAAATGAACAGTATTGTGTAATTAAACACAAAAATACAGGGTGGCCCATAAGTCACTTTACATTTTAAAAATTAAATAACTTTTTATTAAACGACTGTATTTAATTAATTCTTTTTTATTACAAAATTTAGAATCTGTAAGTTAGTTCTGACTTAGTTACGAAAGATAATGTCTCTTAAATAGCCTCCGTTCTCGTCTTCACAATGTCGAGCTCTTTTTTAAGCTATTCTCCACAACACTTCTTAACATCTGAGGTTGTAGGGAAAGAAATTCCTGTCGTATGTTTGCCTTAAGATCTTGAATAGTTTGGGGCTTATTTGCATACACTTTGTCTTTAAGATATCCCCAAAGCCAAAAGTCAGGTGCTGTCAAATCAGGAGAACGTGAAGGCCATTCAAAATCGGATTTAAGAGAGATTATCCGATCCTGAAACATTGCAGTTAACAACTGCATTGTGGCTCTAGCGGTATGTGCAGTTGCTCCATCTTGTTGCCACTAATACCCTGCCATGTTTGCTAACTGAGGTTGAACAAAATTTGCTAGCATGTCTTGATATTTCTCAGCAGTTACAGTCACAGCATTTTCATTTACATCTTGAAAGAAGAAGGGCACAATAACCTTTTCTGATGTTACTCCACACCATGTTGTGACTTTAACCAAGTGTAATGGACTCGCATGAACTTGGTGTGGATTTTCGGTGCCCCAAAATCTGATATTCTGCTTATTCACATGTCCGTTCAAATGGAAATGAGCTTCATCTCCCATGATCAACTTGTGAATAAACTCATTGTCATTTCTTGCAGTTCTCTGAAACTGACAGCATAATTTAGTCGTTGCTGAAAGTCTGGTGGTTGTAAAGATTGCACTAATTGAATCTTGTAAGGGTACATGTGCAAGTCTCTTTGAATGCGCTGCAGAGAACTCCGTGAGATGCCAAGTTCTTGAGAATGCCTTTGAGTGGATGTGGTTGGGTTCTCTTCAATGCTACGGCTCGCAGCTTCAGTATTTTCACATGTACGTACTGAATGACCTCTTCTAGTCCTATCACTTACAGAGCCATGCTCTTAAAAACGCGCCACTAAGTTCATTATTGCAGGCCTACTTGGGAGATGTCGAACATTAAAATAGCGCATATACGATCTTTGCGTTGCAACAATTGACCGTCCATTTTCGAAGTAAAATTCACTTATCTTCACTCGTTGTTCTATTGTAAACGTATCGATACTAAAAATTTCCAAAGATTATATTTTTTAATTCTAAAAAGAGAAATAGAAATATGTTAATAGAAAAAAAGTTACTTAATTTTTAAAATGTAAAGTGACTTATGGGCCACCCTGTAGTA